TTAGACAGCTGCGCAAAACAGATATAAAAGTAGTTTCTGCTCAAGATGAGAATATGAGTCGTAATGGAACAGGATTTTCACCTCTCCATCATAACATGTTTACACAAAAGGAAAAAGGTCATATTCAGATTGGAGAATGATATTAATATGATTTAATGAATTTCTCTATGAGGACACATAGTAGGTAATGTGAGTTAATTGTCTTGCCTGAGGACACAAAAACAGAACTTGGCCCGAGCAGGAATCAGTCCTACAACTTTCTTTTGATAAGCCACTGTCACCCCAATGTGTATTGTCTACTGGTGAAAAATAAATAAATAAATCAAATAATCTTGCAGATGGTAGCTTTAAAGGTCATATATTGTGTGACTTTTGTGAGCTTTAAGCCGTGTTAGAATGCTGTTACCTCATCAAAAACATACGCAGAGTTGTGTTTTGTTTCATTCACATAATAATAATAATAATCTTTTATTATTAGTCTGTCTACAGCTCCAAAGCTTAAAATGCCCTGTTCCAATCTGTGATGTCATGAAGTGGTAGTTTTCATGTTAACGGCGGCTACCTTTTGCTTTAGTTCAGTAGAGATTGCCAATTTTAAGTAGCGAGGCTGGCGCCACCTAGTGCCTCCGCTCATTTTCATTTTTCTCCAGCAACTAGGTCAGGAATCAATATAGAATAGACGGTTTGCAAAAACCCCAGAAGTGCAAGTTCAGGCACCAGCCAATCAGCGAACCATACATTCTGTGTTGTCAATGATTCTCGAGATTGAGGATTTAAAGCCGGAATAAAGAGAATGTTTGGTGAATTTCATCAAGGGAAGAGACGTTATTGCCCTTCTTCCTACGGGATTTGGGAAAAGCTGAATATACCAGTTTGCCCCGTTAGCGGAGCATTACATACGTCATGACCAAATAGGAGCGATTGGTTAAATGATAAAAAGTACCTGCCTACCGTCAAGTGGAAGGCTGCAAGGTCAGATGGTTTCTACAAAGTGAAACAAAGTAAAACCGGCTGATGAATCAGGCTAAATTGCAGGGCTGAAATTATCCAAATGATTCTAGTGAAGGTGTATGGAGTTTAAAAACACAGTGGAGCACTTCCTGTCCTACCACGTGACATCACAAAGAACAACAGTGCTGTCTGAGAGAAGAACTCAGCCTAAATCTGCAGGGTCTGTGTGTTAAACATGTGGGAATGAAACAAAACACAATTCCAGGTATTGTTTTGATGAGGAAACAACATTACCCCATAGATCAGAAAATAGCGTGATATGGGCCCTTTAAATACTATATACAACTTAATGAAATAAGTTGCATACATATCGGACTGAAGAATGATAATATGAATTCCACTGTGCAAAGTTATGGATCATTACAACATATTTGTACACTATGGGAACACATTATTTCCCAACCGCTCCAAATCTCATCAGAGCTTAAAGTCTGAGGAATTTGAAATCTCTCGGAGTAAAACACTACAGTTATTCATATGTATCCAAGGGTAATGATATTGTAGTCGAGGTCGCACATGCTCAGAATACTGTCTATATAAGTTAGAATGTGGACCACCGTGGAATGAACAATCCTGGAGGAGGGGTCATTGACAGTACTGCTGTTGATCTTGGCCTTAAGACTGAGCGTTAAGGTTACAGGCAGGTCTCAGCTCATTATTAGAGGTCACTGGATTGTAAATCAATGCCACTACCAGGTTATTTGTCCCATTGTTCTACCATGTGTTGTGAGAGGAGAAAGGGTCGCGCAGCAATAGTATCTCTATAGAAACTAGTCAATGATTAGAGGTAAACGATGCGGTGATTTAAAACTGCAACAGTCCATAATGCTTGGAGTGATTAGAAATGTATTTTTAAAGAAAACCTATTGAACTTGTGTCTGCTATATAGCTATAATCTATGACATCATTATGTTATAATTAGGGATGTAACAATAACCAAAATATTGTGATATCGTATCATCAAAGTTCTCACAATAATATCGTGGACCATCACAATATATCGAATTACAAGTCTCTTTGGTTAAATTAAGAGTTATGGTGCAGCGATAGTTAAAAAAAAAAAAGACAGGGGGATCTACATAGACCATGATCCTTTGCTCCATTTCAGTGTAGACTACAAGTAGAGGGCAGTACAGTTCTAAGCACTTTTAAGTCTTAGATCATTGGGTTAAGTCTTGTCAAGGCGTTTTAAGGGGAAAAAGTAGCATATTAACAGTTTTGTTTGCCTCCACAAAATATCGCAATAAATATCGTACCGTGAGATGTACGTCGTGAAAATATTGTACCGAGAGATTTGGATATTGTTACATTGCTAATCTTGAGCTTCCCCACGATATCGCAATAAGGTATGAACATAGGGATACACACTTGGATATTGTTACAGCCCTTGTTATAATTTTAACATTTAAAAATTATAATTATAAATAATTATAATGGCAGCAGACATCATCAAAACACAACAAAGATTTGCTAACTCCGATGGATATCTTTTTGTAACCCATTTGTACCAAAATGACTATGCAACACTACCGAATTCTACGTGTATCACAAATTAAGAAAATAAAACTGGAGGACAAAGTAAGTACACAGCAGTGAGTGTATGCCATTGCCGGCGGACTGATTGGCAATATGTTGTCTTGAAAATAAGCAATTAAGGATTGCTGACACCTGCACAAATAACTCCAAATACAACTTCTGTTGAGTAAATGGTGAGGGGAAACAAATACAACATGGTTAAAAGCTGTGAAAAGTCAATTTCACAGAATAGGTCTGATTGAATTCTAATACTGTATGCTTTTAGTTTTAGCTGTATATTCCCACTGTCTGGAGCAAAACAAAACAAGATTAATTTATGGCTTTTTTTAAACCTTTTGTGAGACTGTCAGGTAAAATAAATTAAAACAACAAAAGTACTGTAGGTAGTGCCTTATCAAAGGACATGACAGCAGTATGCACCTGTGGAATCATCAAACTATGGGCCAATAGAGCTGAGAGTTCTACCAACTATTCCAAAACTTTGAACCACTAACCTCCAGCTCAGTGGAAAAACAATACCAACTAAGCCACTAACACATTTAAAAGGTCCTATATTATGCAACATTTCCTCGTTAAAACCATATCTGGAATAGTGTTTTGCCTAAATATGCAGGATTTGTGTGTTAAACATGTGTGAATGAAACAAAACTCCAGGTATGTTTTGTGATGAGGAAACAACATTACAACTTAGATCAGAAAACGGCATAATATGGGCCCTTAAGACAAACTTCCAGCGTACCATGATACAACCAAGATCCAAAGTAACCAAAATACTATAAAAGCAAAAATACTGAAAAGACAGTAGAAGCTTCAGAGGCTGTATTTCAGCAACCTTCAAAGTCTGACACTGGGTTGCACACTTTCCCCAAATTCAGCACGAAGCCAGCAACTTGTGAGACAGCTCTTTAAAACACTGCTGCTGCTGTGCAAGAAGACTCACTTGAACTTTATAGTCAGGACTGAGACGTGAATTACACTGTAAAGTTTTCAAAGTAATTTTATCCCAGGAGAATGGACAAGAGATCATTTACTGTTCTCAAGGATATCAACTAAATATGGAGAAATATGAATCAAAATTGGCTCGGTATTGTTAGCAAGGACACATATTTTTGACAAATTTGCTTTTTTGAGCTGGAGTTGTACTTTGCTTCATTCACTCTTGTTTCATTATTCTACTAATCCAAAGTCATTTTCTCAGAGAACACCAAAATGCTCTGTTTGCATTTTGCCATATTGTTGCATCATAGGTAAAAATCTAAACTTATGATTTTTATTTCACATTTATTTATGAGGTCCCGCTGAGATTCAGAATCTCAGTCTACGTTTATATTATGATGGTCTGAACAGAACATGCAAAAGTGGCGTTGCATCTTCACTTTTTATTCCGTGTTGAAACAAACGTTTTTGGGAGGAAATCTGTGTGCATACAGTGACGCAAAAGTGTGTGGCAATTCGACTGGGTATGCATGCCATCCGACATGTTTCTGTGTACTGTATGAATGTGATGTAAACGTGTACGTGACGTGAGCAGATCAGACCAGAGTTTTGTGTAGACGAAAACACTATGGCGGAGCATATTCAACTTTTCCACTCTGGAGGGTTGTTTTAGATTTTTGTGCTTTTAAACCCCAAAAACGCTGTCACCATTAAAACGAAAGGCACTTCTGATAAAATATTTTGTCGTTTTTACCAGCAAACGTTCTTGTGTAAACAGGTCCTCAGTTTCAAGAGAGACATGGCCAACTGAGCAGTCAACACAATCAATACAAAACAGTAAAATCACAAAATATCACAATATAAAACCAATGTAGAACTTTCAAGATAAACACACATCTCTCGGTCATTGGCC